TTTATATCTTTGTGGGTCATATTTTTTTCACTACAGTATTTCATATACAGTTTTGTTGTTACTAGAGGACACACCCTATCAGTATACCAAGCATTATCTATCTATCTATCTATCTATCTATCTATCTATCTATCTATCTATCCAGTCGTATCCGACCCTTGGCGATTTCATGGACCGTCACTCTTAAGTGACTTTTTCCATGAATTATTTTACAGGGTAGGTTGCCAGGTCTTTTCCCAACCCCTACCATGCAGGAGATCCCGCATAGCCAGGGATGAAATTAGGACAATTTGGACAGGAGCCAATTAACCTACCAGCATGTCTTTGGAGTGTGGGAGGAAAACGAGTACCCGGAGGGAACCCACGAACATGCAAACTCCATGCAGGAGGTGCCATGGTTGGGAATTGAACCCATGACCCATTTACTGCACGGCAGACGTGCTAACCACTAAGCCACTGTGCCGCCCACCATGCAATATACTCTGCATTATTTATTGGAAGACACTTGAAAATGAACGTGCAGCACCTAAAGTACTTTTGTAAAGCAATTGATGTGTGTCCCATAACTGTATATACATTTTTCCAAAATGAAAGCTTAATTTGTATTTTTGTGTATTTTGTCCAGCAGTCACATGAATTCATAGTCTCCTGTATATTACATTGTTGGAGTGGAGCATGTCAGTATTGGAAAGAGGCAGACTGTTGACTTCTAATAGCACATAGACCAATGTCCAAAAATCTGTTGAATGCCTTCAGCTTTCATCTAGGTGCAAACATACAGACACAGACTGAATGTCCAGCAAAGAATTTAGGCACTCCTATTAAGACAGATGTGCACTGCAGAGAAATGAGCTGCAGAGCTGTGGAATGACCAGCAGATAGTAAAGTCAATTCTTACATTTAAGAACATATTTAATATCTGTTACACCTGAAAAAAAGGAATAGTCAATAACTGAACCTTACACTTAACCTAACCTTTTTAACCCAAAAGTTAATGTACACATTTCCATAAATAAATATTGGGGCATGCCATTGCTGTCCTCTTTCTAACAAGAATGTTAGTTGCCTGGCTGTTATGCTGATCCATTGGCTTCAATACTTTCACTCAGTTCTGTAATTTATGGTATCTAAATGTTTCTCTTACAGGAAACCGCAGAGAGGAAAACTTTCTGCCATTCCTATGTGAAGGACCTTGTGAATGAAGCAACTGATATCAATTTGAAAAATGAATCTCTACAAAAGTTGTGGCCACAAATGTTCATTGAGATGGTCAGAGATGCAGTGATTGAGATCCGTGATAAGAACTCCTATATGAAACAGTGCTTGCAGAGGATCTCTGAGCAAAAATAGCCACTGATCAATATTTCATACTTACCAAACAGTTATATTGACTGTTCCTATGTAGATCTGCTTGTTCCTCTCTTCATGTCCTGAATTTTCTACCTCCCTCTTTTTTTGGCAGTATGGAAGACCACCATGTGTTAAACCAAGCCCTATACTTGGGACTTTGACCTGTTTATAGCAAGTAGGATTGTATACCACAAAGAAGCCATGATCTTCAAATGTCTTCCACCACTAAATATGTGGAAGGACGCATTGCTACAGCACTATGGCCAATTTGTCAAATGAAAAGTCACTTTTCAGTGTAATTTGCTTTTCTGAAGCGTTTGTTTAAAATAAAATAAAATCTCTTTTGTAATTTGAGTGCTAAATAATTTTGGGGCATTTAGAATGGAACCCCTCAGGGTCCCCTACATACATTGCATGGATATTGGCAAACCTTACTGCAGATACATGACTGCTTGCATTCTGTAATATTGGAAGAGATCCTGTTGGCATACTTACAGAAATCTTACAAATCCGTGCCGAGAGAGAAGGTCTGCCTTTACTTATTATCATATCATTCTCAGTGTATTAAGAAGCAATACACTCCTTTGGTAACCTTTTGATGTACAACACTCATCAGTTATCTCATCAATGTGAAACTTCCAGGATATACAAAAATCAAGCGCTTGGTAAAAAGAATGATAACAAGTAAATATATCAATATAATATAAATAAAATTATAAAAATCTAGCTGCTGGCATAAAAGGTCACCTCTGAAACCTAACAATAATGGTCAAATTAAATCAATCAATGCAGCGCTAATAAAATTGCATAAATGATAATATCAAATGTGTCAGATTAAATAATGATATCAGGTGTAAATAGTAACTGCAAAGACCCCAGATAGATAATACAGCACTGGGTAGGATTCCGTGACTCCTGTGGTGGTGGAAATGAGTATAGATATACACTAACCAGATAGATGAAATGCTTGCGCATGGAGTATATAAGACCTACTCCTGGTACTCTGGATGTGAGTCACTGGAATGGATAGCAGTCATCTATGTCTCATCCACCAGGTGTCATACATCAGGACACAACATCAAAGGCCTCCCGGGATGCCAACTTCAGCCACCAGAGGGGGTATTCATCCCAGACATCAGAAGGGCAGGAACCAGGTAGACCTTCAAAGAGTGGGGCTCCCATGGAGAAAAATAGAGCCACAGACAAAGCTTCTGATAGTGCAGTAACTTTAATATTATTGGTAATAAGCATAAAAGGAAGTACACTCACATAAAAAATGATCCAAGATGGCCACCAGCTGCATAGACCAAACCATGCGGTGCAGTAGCATGAAAGTCCAAATAGGGTGCCCTTTATGCAATTTTATTAGCGCTGCATTGATTGATTTAATTTGACCATTAATGTGAAACTTCTAGCTAGTAAACTTAAAAGTACAAGTACACGTTTTCCTTAACAAAAAAAAAAAAAAAACACCCATCCCTAGCCTCCTAACCTAGAACACCCCACTTTTCCCAAATGTATTCCTCTGTGACAGCTTGGCCTCCCAAGTTGTTTACAAGAGTCTCAAAAACAGTATCTTCTCAAAGACTTGAACAGGGCTATGCTGCTTGCATTATCTACTGCAGGTATGCAGCCTTGTTAATATGATGAGTAGTTACTGCACCGGCATGGACAAAGAAGGTTTCGGAATAATGATGAAGGTTTCGAGAATACATGATGTAAATACCTTTGCTCAGTTTGTGTGGGGGGGGGGGGGGGGGGGCAAGGGGGCTGCAATGCAATACCCCTGAAGTGTAGCTGTGCTTTGTTTACTTTAATCTTGAAATCTGCAGCTACTTAAAATTTCCTGTAATGTACTCATTAAAATGGTATGGAGCTGTATGAAATGCTGATGGGGTAAGTAAGGTATATTCTAATTTTTGCACCATTCAGCCTAAGCTTTGTAGATTGCACAGTCCAATTGCAATGTTTGTGGCTAGTTTAAGAAATAATAACATCCTATTGTACAACACCAACAGATATGTGTGTACTGTGACAGTCACATTTTCCTCCTCCCCCCATACTGACAGTAGCAGACACATACACATAAGTATGTAATATTTGAAAGCACTGTATTCACTATACCAGTGTGCTAATTTTATTTATTTTTTTATGTCGTAAAGTGGTACACTTGGCAGGAGATGCCTCTGTGCTGTCTCTGTTCATCTGCAACATACTCTATTCTGTGTTCCAACATGCATATTTTTTTTAGGGTGCTTATTTAAATTTTGCATGAGATACATAGAAAAAACAGTGAAGCTCAATTCAACTCAATTGATCAATCAGGTCTTTTTGTTGAATAAAACCTAAATTAAACATTACTGACATCTATACAGTAAGCCTCTTGCAGTGTTAAAAAAAAAAAGCAGCAACTGGGAAAAAATAGAATTCATGTCTGTAACGGTCAAGCACACATGGGAGAAAACTAAATAGGATCTGTATACGATGACACGTACACCAGCATGTCATAACTAGCAGGATTCATTTAGAATTTCAGAAAATGCTCTCATCATTCATTAGCATTCTCTATTCTGCCCTGTGTGAGTTGCTGTCAGCCATCATCCTGCTGCAGTGAAGGGAATGAATGCAAACAGAGTTTTCAAAGATGTTTGCTACCATCAAGAAGTTGTGGCTTTCCATTGTACAGACCTGGGATAGAGAAGCTGCTTATATTGAGTGATTTTAGCGAATCAATATTTCACAAAAGTTTTCTGCTTTTCTGATTGTGGATATTTTAAAACCAAATTTATCACAGATATTTACTGTTCAAATTCACCAAAAGGCATCTGAATGTAATTGTCCCAAAATCAATTTTTTTTGTCTTAATACCACAATTTGCTTTGGTTCTTATGGCAGCTATTTTACCATACTATACAAAAGGAGTAATGTTACTGCTATTTTACTATATTCTAACCCAAGGATCTCCAAACATTTTCGAGCCAGTTTACTGACCTTCAGACTTTGAGGGCCAAGACTGTGGCTAGTGTGAATAGAAATGCCCTGGCGTCAATGGGAGTAAACCGTGCCTCATCATTGTTATTAGTGGGAGGAATAGTGCCCCATTTTATCAGGGAAAGGAATATAGTGCCCCATTTTTGGTATCAGGGAAAGGAATAGTGCCCCATTTTTGGTATCAGGGAAAGGAATAGTGGCCCATCATTTGTGTCAGTGAGAGGAAATAGTGCCCCATTGTTAATGTCAGTGGTAGGAATAGTGCCCCATCATTAGTGTCAATGGGAGGAATAGTGCCCCATTGTTGGTATCAAGGAAAGGAATAGTGCCCTATTGTTGGTGTGTCAGTGGGAGGTATAATGCCTGATTGTTGGTGTCCCTGGGAGGAATAGTGACCCAAGGGCCAGAAAAAGTAAATAGCAATGTGTGAACAGTTTCTTTTTTTTGTCTCTGCTTTAATAGGGAAAATAGGTGATATGTGCCAGCCCTGTTGTGATGCCATCTACTACCTTCCAACCTTTGACCAATTTTTGCATTCAGTTGTTTAAAAAAATTATAACTTATTATAGACAGTGCACATGTTTACACTATATTGCAAAACGTATTGGGTGTTCAAATCACCTCCATGGCCACAGGTGTATAAAATCAAGCACATAGGCATGCAGACTGCTTCTACAAACATTTGCAAAAGAATGAGTTGGTCTCAGGAGCTCAGTGAATTGAAGCGTGGTACTGTGAAACGTTGCCACCTGTGCAATAAGTGCATCTATGAAAATTCCTTGCTACTAAATATTCAATGGTCAACTGTTAGTGGTATAATAACAAAGTGGAAGCAACTGGGAACAACCGCAACTCAGCCACAAAAGTGGTAGGCCACGTAAAATGACAGAGTGGGGTCAGCGCATGCTAAAGCGCACAGTGCTCAGAAGTCGGCAACTGTCTGCAGAGTCAATAGCTAAAGACCTCCAAATTTTGGCTTGTGGCCTTCAGATTAGTACAACAACAGTGCGTAGAAAGCTTCATGGAATGGATTTCCATGGCCGAGCAGCTGCATCCAAACCTTACATCACCAAATGCAATTCAAAGCATCGAACGCAGTGGTGTAAAGCCACTGGACTCTAGAGCAGTGAAGACTTGTTCTCTGGAGTGACGAATCACGCTTCTCTGTTTGGAAATCTGATGGGTGAATCTGGGTTTGGCGGATGCCAGGAGAATGGTTCTTGCCTGACTGCATTGTGCCAAGTGTAAAGTTTGGTGGAGGGGGGATTATGGTGTGGGGTTGTTTTTCAGGGGTTGGACTTGGCCCCTTAGTTCCAGTGAAGGGAACTCTTAAGGTGTCAGCATACCAAGACATCTTGGACAATTTAATGCTCCCAACTTTGTGGAAACCGTTTGGGGATGGCCCTTTGTGTTTCAACATGACTGCGCACCAGTGCACAAAGCAAAGTCTATAAAGACCTGGATGAGCGAGTCTGGCGTGGAGGAGCTTGACTGGCCTGCACAGAGTCCTGACCTCAACCCAATAGAACACCTTTGGGATGAATTAGAGTGGAGACTGTGAGCCAGGCCTTCTCGTCCGACATCAGTGCCTGACCTCACAAATGCGCTTCTAGAAGAATGGTCTAACATTCCCATAGACACACTCCTAAATCTTGTGGACAGCCTTCCCAGAAGAGTTGAAGCTGTTATAGCTCCAAAGGGTGAACCAACTCAATATTGAACCCTATGGACTAAGACTGGGATGCCATAAAAGTTCATGAGCATGTAAAGGCAGGCATCCCAATACTTTTGGCAATATAGTGTATTTGTGCTTTGTGGTAATTATCTGCGTGCATGGTATACTCATAATTACGTAATAGGGTTGAAACAATACACAAGTCCATCTAGTTCAAACAATAGAAAAAATGAACAAATGACTACTTACATTTGTATAAGTTTATCAACAGTCTGGTATTTATCGCTGATCAGAAATATTAAGATGGAGCAGCTGCTGCCCTTTATATACACCTTTTAAGAACCATAAAGCCTTAATGTGGTGTAACCTAGTATATGGGTGACATATGGGGCAGATTGTGAACTTAATAAAGTCAATGGACAGGTTCTGCGATTTACAGATTATGTAAAGTCACCTATAGCTTTCTTAGCTCTGACCATGTGCAATCAAGGTTAGGCTTGGTTCACTTATATGCATTTTATGTTTGATGCTTTCTCCAATGCCTTTTGCAATTTGTTTTGCGTTTTTTCTACAAGTGTTTTTGATGCGTTTTTACCATGTTTTGCATTTTTTGTTCAGTTCTTTTTTTTCTGTTTTTTTTTCTGTTAAAGTGGAATTTATTTTGTTGCTGAGCAGAATAAAAATGCAAAATGTGCCAAAAACACACTACCATGCATTTCATCGGCATCTCCATTGAACTCTATTGTAGCAAAAATGCTGCTTTTTGCTTTTAAAAATGTCCCTGGCCCTTTCCAAAAATGCAGCAGCTCAAAAAAGCATAGATGGGAACATGTTCCATAGGAAACCATGTTAAATGGACTGTAGTGCATTTCTGCAAAAAGCACTAAAAACGCATTGCTGTGAACGGAGCCTTAGAGAGAAATATTCAGAGAAAAATAAGGGCTGAGTTTTCTGACATCCTTCTGAAAATGCCAGTTCCCCAGACACCATATCCTAATGTCAGAAGTCATCCTCTAATCTCAATACGTTCTGACTCACAGACCTGGCACATGTATATGACAAACAAAGTTTATATTCCAGATGTTCATACTCATTCCAGGTATTTTATTTGAAAGCAATAAAGCCATTCCATCATCCTGATAGGAAGGCAACCAACATTTTCAGAAGGCGGTCAGCAGTGTAGCCTTCATGTTTCTTTAAAAACATAAGATGCACTGTATTCAATGCAGCGGTATTTAAGGTCTGGGGTAATTACTGAAAAAATTACTAATTTAATCTAGCTCTTTAATAAATATTGGGGTTGATATACTAAAGGCAAATAGTCTGTGCCCTGAAAGCACACTTCAAGTGCAGTTGTTCTAGATTTGAAGGGAAGCTCTGAAAATTTCTGTCATTCTATCATGTGCAAGCAAGAATGCTGTTTTTTTTTTCATTTTACCTACATGTGATTTTCTTTGCAAAGTGAAGCTTTACCTCATTTACTAAGCTCTGGAGCAGCTTGCAAGTGCACAGTCTATTTGCCTTTAGTAAATCAACCCCATCCTCCTAATGAGAACTGAACCCTTCAAGAAATACAACTAAAACATTAAATATCCTAGCTAAATCCCCCAGGGAACTAAGTACTGCAACTGGTTCTGTTTTGGTCCATAGTCTCGTTGTGTATTGAAAGCCAATTTTTGTTACTGTCTATGTGGCTGTAGGTCCACCCCATGCTGATGCCCAATTTGTGGGTATTCTTATGGGGGAGTTACAGCCAGCACTATAGTCACCTTCTCTATTCTATGTAAAAATAGATGTAACACTATATCCTTGCAGTGATTATGAAACTACAATGCTGTCTCTGGACTTGTAGTTCCATAGGGACAGGTTCCCTTTGCTGAACAGTATACAGACTAGTGACTGGCACTTCTCTTTGCCTATGCTCTTTGGCTACACAATGCCCCACAGCACTGAATCATTCTTTACTTTTGTGAATGAATAGTGAGTGCCAGTGGCGTCCCAAGGCAGGTGCTGGGGGTGTGGTCCGCACGGGGTGACACCGCCCGCACGGGGTGACACCGGAACCGCTCCACAAAAAGGTAAGTTGTAAAGCAAGCCAACGATCCCCAAAGGATGGATCCGATCCATCCTGCGGGGATAGTCAGGCTTTCTTTACAACTTACCTTTTCTTGGAGCAGGTCCAGTGTCTCACCCCGTATAGGTTGCATGCCGACAATCCTGCGGGGATCGTCGGCATGCAACCTATACGGGGTGACATCGGACCCGCTCCAAGAAAAGGTAAGTTGTAAAGAAAGCCGATGATCCCCGCAGGATGGATCGGATCTGCAGATTAAGCATAATGGATCGGATCCATTCTGCAGGGATTGTCGGAGGGGGTGTCACCAAGTGTTAACGCACCGGGTGACACCAACCCTAGGGACGCCTCTGGTGAGTGCTATCTGGGCTGAGTGATCAATCTGCTGGTGTGTATAATTATTGGCACCACAGATACTGTAGATGACAGAGCCTCAACAGCACTGAATGACCTGGGTGCTGCCAATCAGACCTAGTTAGTTATTTGGCTCCTTGCTAGCAGCGTGGTTGAACAGCAGTGGGGGAAAGTGGCAAGCTGTCAACAACAGTAGCTCAGCAAGAGGTCCACTGGTAAGAACAGGACCAAGTGCTCCATATACTTTGTCCCCTGAATTCAATAAGCATTCACATAAGTGTTGATACTTCTTGATGAAACTACAGCTGTTACTCTTTATGTGACCCTACTAACCTTATATATCTTACAAAGCCTATGGTGACATCACCTCTTATCTCTAGGCTTTAACCTATTCTTCCTAGAACCTTGTCTTACCACACATGCTCAAAGTGTAATCTAAATTCTGTTAATAAAAAATAACCTCTATATCCAGTGCAGAGAAGTAGCTATTTTTGTCCATGTTGTACATACAGAGGTACTGATTCAGTGGCACTTTCTCTCAAAGTGACACATGTCGGCAAATTTCTAGTGAACCGATCAAACAGTATATTAACCACTTCAACACCGGGCCACTTCTGACACTTCTCACATATATATATATATATAAAAATCAACATTTTTGCTATAAAATGTTTTAGAATCCACAAACATTATATATCTTTTTAGCAGAGGCCCTAAAGAATAAAATGGCGGGTGTTAGAATTTGTTATGTCTTGTATTTGCTCAGCGTTTTTTTTAAATGCCATTGTTTTTTTAAAAAAAAAATCACTTCAATGAATTTTACTGCATACAAACACTATATAGTCCCCGACTTTTGGTAAAATATAAAAGATGATGTTACACCGTATAAATAGGTACCTAATATGTCCCATTTTAAAACTGTGTACGCCCTTGAAACGGCACCAAACTAAGGTATCTTAAAAACTCCACAGGCGATGCTCTAAACACCTTTACAGGTTAGAGTTACACAGGAGGTCTGGAGCTAACATTATTGCTCTTGTGATAGCATGGGCCCTGACAGGTCCTCTTAATGGAGAGATTTATAAGACCCCAGATCTCTCCCCTGGCCTCCAATGCAGCCAATCAGACACAGATTGGTTTGATCGCCTGCTTCCCTGGCTGTTAATGGCCAGATCAACAAAGAACTGAAATCATAAGTAACAAAATACTAATTGCGTCTGCTTTCTGGGGTCACAAAGAGGGAGTTAAATGTCAGTTCCTCTCTGTCTGTATTGCAGCCAATGCCACCGGTCGGAGCTGTCTTGGGCTCCCTGATTGGAAGGGAGAGCCTGGAAAACGCAGCTGGGGGGGGTCCCCCTTCCACCATCCACAGAAGTGATCGAGTGGCTGTTCAGCCACCAAAAATCAGTTCTGCTTTACAGGGAATCTCCAGCTGATACTGGAATGATGCCTCCAGGTGTAGACTTCATCCTGGCATAACCACTTCACTCCTAGGACGTCGTATGATCTCCACCTTTGTGAAGTGGTCTGTGTTTGTGTCTACCTTTAATTTCATAAATCAGAAAAAAACAGTGTAGTGCTATTTTAAATCTTTCCACATATCAACCAACACCAAATAAAACTGTCCAAAATAAAGTCTCTATAGATGTCTTCCTTAACCACTTGACCTCCAGAGGATTTACCCCCCTTAATGACCAGGCCTCTTTTTGCTACTCGGTGCTGCACTAATTCAACTAATAACTGCGCGGTCATGCAATGCTGCACCCAAACGAAATTTATGTCCTTTTTTTCACACAAATAGAGCTTTCTTTCGGTGGTATTTGATCACCTGTGCCCTTTTTATTTTTCACGCTATAAACAAAAAAAGGCCAAACATTTTGAAGAAAAAAAATATTTTTTTAATTTCAGCTATAAAAAATATATAGTAAACTCAAAGTTGGTTATAAATTTAGGCCAAAAGGTATTCTGCTACATGTTTTTGGTAAAAAAAAAATCCCAATAAGTGTATATTGATTGCTT